AAGTTACGTCTGTATGAATTTAAAGGCGACGATAAGAATAACCTTCTCAGTTTTAATCAGATGCAGAATGCTTCATCTATTCTGCAACTTTCTACCACAGAGACCACTCAAAACATGCTGGATTACATTCAAGTTATCCTGTCTGAGATGTTGCATGACAATGTCCAGCATTTACATAATATTAAACATTATCCAAAGTATAATTAATTACATATAATATACAGAATTGTTTAATAAGTAACGATAAAATGCATAGGGATAGATCGGACTAAATTGAGTCAAAATGTCTTTTATTATTTTGCAATTTTTACAATAATTAACAAGATATCAATTAAAATCATCCAAATATTGATTTTCAATAATTTTTTAATTAAGAATTTTTTCAGAAATTTTGATCAACTTTTTAGTACTGCATTTTCTTATTGACAACTATTTTTCTAACGTGATAAAATGTGGTACTAAAAAATTCTGAAAAATTCTCAGAACTCTTAGAAGAAAATAAACAGTTTTTTGTCACTTGCTGTTTTTTTTATAAAGTTGATAGTACTTGATTAAAAAATTATTGAAAATTCATATTCGGTGATTTTTCTGGTTAACTATCGCGAAAAATTGTAAAATAGTACAGGACTTTTCGACTTTAATTCGCTATATTTCTATGCGAGAGTTTTATCATTAATTATCAAACATTATATACATACATACATACATACTGGGAAGAGCATTTAAAACAGGTCACCTGAATAACTTGTTTGTTTTTAACCATAGAAGAAAAAGTGTCAAACAAAAGTTGCTTGGTTTCGAGGGGCACATAATGTCAATAACTGTTTTGGAGGCGTAAAGGATAGGTAAAGGTCAAATCTTTTAAATTTTTAAAATTTTTTTAAAATGGAATGATATATTTTTTTACTTAAATTCTGATAAAGCATTTTAAGACGAATACAATGACCTATAATTGAAGGTTATTTAAGGTTATACAAGATCGATAAACAAATTTCAATTGCAACGCATGCTCTTCTTATACGCTCCTTCATGTCTTGTCTTGTTCGGTATTTCGCTGTATACTTGTTGTTTTAACTTTCCCCGCAAATAAAAATCCATAGGTGATATCTGGGGAACGTGCGGTCCATCTGTTATTTCCTGCCCGACCAATCCAACGATCTCCAAATTTTATGTTTAGCAATTCAGTAATAATCCGTGCAGAATGAGTAGGACATCTATCTTGTTTGTACCACATTGTCGTACGTTCAGTGGAAGATCTTCTAATAATAGCGGCAATATTTCTGTTAAAATCTATGCATACTTGCGACTATTTAATGGTCCATAAAATGAGAATCAATTATTTTATCATTAAGAATTCCGGCCTAGACATTTATAGACCAAGGTCTTTGCCTGTCCACTTCTCTCATCCAATGTGGATTTTCTACTGATCAATAGTGCATGTTGCGAAGATTTACTTGTCCATTGTTTGTAAAGCTTGTCAGTAAATAAGGTTTTAGTGACAAACATATCATCTTCTTCTAGTCTTTGTAGTGCCTATTCGCAGAATTGTACACGATTTTGAAAATCATGTAACTTTTGATGAAGTGAGAAGAGATAAAATTTGTTGGAATGGAGTATTCGCAGAACACTTCGTCGACTAATATCACTTTCACGTTCAAGCTGTCTTGTACTGAGATGTGAATTTAGTGCTACAGCAGCTAAAATGTTCGTTGAATTTTTGTCGTCAGTTGCTTTCTTGATTCGTTTACGTTTTTTATTATCCACACTTCTTGTTTCTTGAAAAGTTTGTACTATGTTTGAAAAAACAAAGAATGAGGGATGGACACGATTGGGAAAAATCGTTCAGCATACAAAAGTACAAGCTTTTCTCATAATTTGGACATTCACCATAGATGAAAATCATATTGACTTTTTCTGCTTTCGTATAACGCATTTCGCAAGACACGCACTTTGATTGATAGATGAATTCAAACTGATCAGTAAATATGGATAATGCTATATGCGATTCACTTTAAACGGTATGTAAATATTTACATACACTTGAACGATTAGCGGTATACCAACAAGAAGAAAAGACACAAAATTATTCGAAGAATGTCTTGAAACAATTTATTTTCCATTACATTCAATTATGTTCCATTATTGATCTTGCGAAACCTTGAATGACCTTCAATTATAGATCATTGTATTCGTCTTAAAATGCTCTACCAGAATGTAAGTAAAAAAACATATCATTCCATTTAAAAAAACAGATTTGACCTTTGCCTATCTTTTATACCTCTACCTATAAAATAATTATTGACATTATGTGCCCCTCGAAACCAAGCAACTTTTGTTTGACACTTTTTCTTCTATTGTTAAAAACAAGCGAGTTATTCAGGTGACCTGTTTTAAATGCTCCTCCCTGTATATATATATATATATATACACTTTTTTTTTACAGATCTTTAATATGTATATATTTTTATCGCAGATACGTGGACATAGTAGCTGTTATTTTAAAGCAAAAATTAAATTTGATTGATAGAATGATAACTCAACAAGAAACTGTGCGACAAAAGCAAGATGACACTCGGAATCAAATCGATAAATTACGAGCATTATTAAAACTCATCATACAAAGAACTAAGGAATTGCAAACAGAGGTATGCCATCTTTTTCTAATGCTACGTTATTAAATAATGACATATTCTGTTATTTTCTATACTAGACATCGCATACGCGCGCTTCGCACGCATTATTTTGCATAAATTTTTTTTCACTATACTTAATGTTTTAATATTTATGCATATTAATATTAAATTGTTACTATAACATTATTAATCTCTCGATGCACATTGACAAAATATGCAATGACAACTCATGAAGTAAATGCAAACGAGAGAACTAATCGACATTGCGGAAAATAATAAACTTCGACTTTTTTAAATGTCTTTTAAAAAAGTGGACTGTATTTAATTACAGATAGAGCGAGATATTTCTAAGAAATACAAAAATAGGACAGTACATTTAACCGGAGGTGTAAATATGTTGTAGGTATCAAACAAAGGAGAAAAAAATTGTTGAATTATATATCAAATGTTAATAATACACAAAGATAGTACGACTTTGCTATTGTGTATATATATAATCTTTTTGCTGTTGTGTAATATATATATAATATAATTCTTTTATTCTTATATATTTTAAATCTATTACCTTGGTAGAACAGATAAGTAACGGTAGAGAGAACGAAAAAAATAAACATAGGTACTACAATATGATAATCGTTGTTGATTGTAGCGTGACCTCTTACATAACATATCTCTAAAGATGTAATTTGTAAGAATAATCAATACTTTTTTTGGTATTCGGATTTTCGGCCTTTATTCATACAATATATTTCCAAAGGACGTTCTAAAAACTTCCAGAGAACGTTCTAGGTCTTAAGAAAATGTACTGTATGAGTAAGATATAGTTTTTTAACATGATACATGTCATATAACATGATATAAGTCATGAATTTTAAGTCTTGCGAGTCATTTCTCGAAAGTCAAATCTTACAAAATAAAGCGAATTTTTTGTGTTTCTAAATGTAATCTGTGCTATTTAAAAAAAATACATTTATAAGTTACTCTAATTGTAAAATACGTTTATATAATCATGAAAAGATTCTGTACGAGTCTCCATGGTGACGAAGTACAAACTGCTTTGGTAATAGGGCAAGGATATCTCTTCAAACACTCAGCTAATGAACGATCGCATTCGCATAAACGTTGAGCACAAGATCCTGATCCGCCCCAACTGCCATGCTCAACCGCTGTAACAAAGATTTTACGAATTGTTTTATTTCATTATATCACCTTATTTACGTATAGTCATATAGCATAAATAAATAAGTAATCAAGTTTAATTTATAGAAAAGACGTTATATTGGCTCTATAAGGAAAAGATTAAATGAATAATAATCAATAAACAAACCACAAATAGGTTTATAACCATGATAACATCTCCAGTAATATGGTACAAAGTATTCCGAGAACATGGGACATTCCGTAGCGTCGTAACACCAGTCATGCATCTTGCAGCATCTGGAACATTTAATTTATTTCTTGTGAACAAAAACTCGTGGTTGTAAATGATGTGATTTGTTTTCCTATAGATGTAAATAACGTACTGGTCGATACCATCGATGACATAACCGGATCCCAAGAATCCGCAATAGCAACCATATCCTTTGTAAGCTAAAGGATTACATCCCGTAGCGCATACCACCATATTGTAAAGATGTATTACTCCTCTTTTGAATCTGGTATGGCCCATATTCTTCTTTGCATTTGTTCTGAAATGGTATAGTTACGTCAGCCTAGGTAACATGCATATCTTTTTAAAGACATCTTTAAGCTCTACCAAAAGTTATTTAAAAAAAAAATTAAAAAAAACAAGTAAATATATACAAAAGGGAAATCACTTCCAATGACCTTAACCTTGATATATGTTATCAAGGTCCTGTCGCTGAGTGATCTCTAACAGGAAGGCGGTCGCTGTTCAGTAAAAAATTATAAACAAAAAAGTTTAAGAAATAACGTCACATTTCCACTACTTCCCTTATAATTTTTGTTGGAAAATATTGAAAATAACGAACCCACCTTGGATGACCTTGATCTTGACATGTATTGTCAAGGTCAAGGAAATAGATTTCCTGCTCTAAAATCAAAAATTGTTTTTGAAAACATTAATTTCCCATATAATTTTTGTTTTTAAAGTAGGAAATTATTTCCACCTCCCCCTCCCCTGCTTGAGGGCGCACGACTCCCCCCCCCCTTGGAATCGTTTCACGTGAAGTCGTCCGCCCCATGATGAAAGGGATAACATGGTGTGTGCAGTTGGATAATGTCTTTCTAAATTTGCCTTCTCCATCTAGGACTGTTCATAAGGAAGAAGTTACCAACCGTGAAATGTTAAACATGGGACGGTATTCATAGTCCGTTTTTATTTTAAAACTGTCTTAAATATAATGTTTTAAGATGCTAATACAGTCCTCGGATTGACTTACGACATTTTAAGATTGTACTTAAGACAGTTTTAAATGCAAAAATCGACTATAAATATCAGCTTGTTTCGTGCCATGAAATTTTAAGATGTCGCAAGTCTATCCGAGGACTGTATTAACATCCTAAGACATTATATTTAAAATAGTTTTAAAATAAAAACGGATTATAAATACCGTCTCATGGTTACCGTTTCACAGTTGTAGCCCTTGAACATAAACAGAAAGGGCAAAGATTTAGAGAGAAATACTGTCCAACTGCACACACAACGTTATCCTTTTCATCATACGTCCGCCCCATCGATATATAAGGGTGCGTTCGTTTATTCAGTTACTGCCGCAGATGTTCGTTTATTCTATCTGCGAAGATGACTGACTATCTCAGAGGTCTTGCATTACTAATAAGTAATGAATATATAATATAATATGTAGTAATGTTATGCAATGTAGAAGGCAATGTTATGTAATGTAGAAAGTTATGCAAATAAAAATTATATTATGCAAATAAAGTGTTGTCTTATATATAATATTATGCATTATTTTTTTATTAAGTATATTTCAAGAATCATATTTACATTTATTATATTGTATTAATGAGATTGCAAATAAAATCATACAATGAAAATACTATTTTATACATAATATTTATTGTAATGCTTTACTTACTTGCAATCCTTTGAATATAATAAATTTAAATACCATTTTTGAGAAATACTTTAAGTTTATTCCAATATACAAATTTTGTAATCTGTAAATACTATATATCACAAAATATTTAATAATTTATTTAAGTACTTCAGATCACTGAGAGGATTACGATCAGCAATATTTCCAAAAGGTTTCAGTTATTTCTTGGTATAATATTTCAAGAAGATTGCAGATTCTTTCTGTAACATTTTAGCAAGGTTTTATGTGCAAGAGTCGATGACATTTTGCTATTTCAGAGCTGTCTCAGAAATGTTGCAGACGTATTTCGCAACTTTTATGGAATGTTTTACTTTTTATAATAGTTGAAATATTTTTGAAAATTTTTGGTGCCGTATGGGGTATATGAAAAAATATGAGAAATGAAGTACTTTGTGTGAGAAAATATGAAAATATATGATGTATTTGAAAGCAGAAAATCTTAGAAATGATAACAAAATATATAAAAAAAGTCGTACTTTCTTATTGCACTTTATGAGTATTTATGAGAAAGCGATCATTCTATGAATAAATATGACGTGTGAAATTATAAGACATTTTATGAGAAATTATGAGAAAAATTTTTACCAGGGAAATAATTTGATTCCCATCAAATACAGAGTAATACCTTTGAACTGAATATTACGCCTCCAAGTGAATGTTATTGATTGGCCTGGATCGACCCATGATTTTTTTTCGTTTGGAATTATCAAAATAGATTTATTTTTCATCCCCAGTAATAATTTGATACAAAAAAAACTCTTCTTTTTTGTGTCTGGCGATCAACGAAATGCAAATGTTCAATCGGTTCACAATGGCATTTTCCGATAACTAATGTGAAACTCATTTTTCTTCTTTGTGAATCTTCCATATCATGTAAATGTTTAATAACTGTTGTACGATTAATATTTAATTCTCTGGCAAGTTCTGAAGTGGATTTTTATTCAATAATGTTTGCAAATCTGCTTTTTAGTTGTCCTGAGCAATCTTTGTTATTAACATTGAAATCACCACTTTTGAATTGTTTGAATCAATATTCACATGTCTTAATTAATGAAGCAATATTAAGCGTAAGTTTCTATTAGAATTCTGTGATCTTCAGCCGCCGCACAGTGTAAAAAAAAATCAATCTGAAAGGAAATAAATCAATTTTGCAATATTAATATTAATCGTTAATTTGTACAATATTAATTCTAGAATATTATTAGACTTATTTTCTGTGTTTTAATATGTAACATTTCGGAAGTCAATCTTTTATTGAAATTTCTTTCTCTGTCTAGTATCTGCACATTATCCCAATCAAATTCATGATTGTATTGTAACCTATGGTCTAACTGTGATCACTGAACTAACGTTTTTCTAGCGATGTGATTGTGATGTTCAGATATTCATGTCTTGACTTGCCTGCTTATTTGCCTCATAAATGAGACTTCACAATTTTTGCAGGCAATCCTATGTACCGCATTACTTTGTGCATTGATTGGTAATGGATCTTTGTGAACTCTAATTAAACCTCGCAGTTTGTTAACACTGTAAAATGCAATCTTTGATACTGTGCCATTGATCATTTTCTTAAATTTATCGGATATTTTATTAATGTACGGAATAGTAAACCAAAGCATTTTTTTGTTAGTATCTACAGTTTGTCTCTTCTTTGTGATGTCTTTATTATTTATGTGATATATAAGTCTCTGTGAAATAGTTTTAAAAATAAATTCTAATGGATAGTCACATTATTTAGTAGGATTTTTATAATCAATTCAAATTTTTTTTATGAAACACTTGATTAGAAAGAAGATACACCTTGTTGACCATGGTCTTGATAACGCCTTTCTTTTGCGAAAGTGGGTGTCTAGACAAAAAGTTCAAATATCTGCTTGAGAAAGATGATACTAATAAAAAATTATCTTATCGTTTTTAAAATAGTTATGTTAAAAAGTTAATTATATCACCTCAAACTTCTATTGTAAGTTGCAATCTTGGATGGATCGAGTTAAATAATTGTAAAATTTGATTTACAGGATTGGATCCGCCTTAGAGATTGCTGCGACAATGTCGTCAACGTACTGATAATAAAATCCTATTGGAAAATATAAACTGTCAATTATACTCTTTTCAAGGTCTTGTATCACTATATCAGCGATGACCGAAGACAAAGGTGAGCCCATAGGTATCCCAAAGTTTTGCTTATAAATTTGGTCGTCAAACTTAAAATACGTCGATTCAAGCACAAGCCGTACAGCCAATAAAAATAAGACGCTGCACGCCTTAGGAATATTTTTTATAATGATCTTGTGTAAAAATGTTGTAAATGAGTGAAGAGATAGATGAAATGAAGGGGCAGTTCGGTTTATGCACTTTTGGGGTACCATAGGCTTTAGGAAGTACATCATGCATCACTGCAAATAATGTTCTTGTAAGTGGATTCTGAAATATAATTCGTTCGTTTCCATTTCATCAGCAACTCTCTTAAATTTGTTATCAATTTCCTCGTAGGATTTTTATTAATTTTAATATAAGTGTTATTGTTATTCAACATTTTAATTTTGCATTTATATGTATCTTTATCCAAGACTATAGTGATGTTTTCCTTATTATCCTTTATAAAACTTAAATTAGTATTGTTTTTTAAAAATTGTTTTGTCTAAGAAAAAAGTTTTATCAAAGTACTGTCGACACTATTTCTATGAAGCGAAAAGGTTGCTAAGTTGTTAATAGGAATGGAAAAGTTTCTAATTTCTGTTTGGTCAGAAACTTTTCTATATTGCGTTCAATATTTTTGGTAAATTCAAACATGATTTCTTTCTTATTAGTAAAGGGCAACGAAAAATTCTCATTTAGCTGTATAAGGTATTATACTTTGATGGGAATCTATCTTGAAGATAAGTTATTAACCAATTTTCTTTTCTAACCGATATAAGAGAAGAAACCAAAGTCTTTCTAAAAGGAATTCGGATTCAAAGTAATTTTGTTGTAGTATAGCGTTTGAATTAATTATAAGGTCAGTGAAAAATTTGTATAAAGAACTATGATATGATTGTCAGTATTTTGAATGTGTTATAATTGTTACACGAATAATAATTATAATATTTTGGATGTTCTGGAGCTGTTTTTTCTGTTTCTGAAGTAGCTAATTCATTTTCTTTATAAAATCTAAAAAAAAAAACGAATTATAAATATGTACCGGAAGCCATCTACCAGAAGCACATTAATTTATGTTACGTGCCATTTAATAAAGATAATTTGGATAAATCTAAATGACGAAACCATTTGTTAATTATGTCCTAGTCTCGTCCGGATGAATAAACTATATAGTTGTGGTTCTATGTTCGTGTTACCAACAGAGTTCACAGCTCCCACTTGTAATTAAAAATGACGCGCGCATCTCTTCCCATAACTTCCTTGCGTGCCGCCGCATCCCCTCTCATTGTGTTTTCTGTTCATATACAAGTAACAGAGTTGTTTCTTCAATAACTTTTGCCTGTTAATTTCTAAAGATTTAACATGCCAAAACGTGATAGACATTACTCATCGAGCCCTTCGAGAAAGCGAAGACACAAACATCGAAGGGAATCGCAAGAGAAATCTCGTAGTGGCTCGCTATCACAGTACATAC